GTAGATGAAGTGTCTCCTATCACATAGTAACATTTAAGGTATTTATTTATGACAAGTATAAGAAAAGAAAAGAAGAAGAAGAAGATGATGATGATGATGATGATGAATTCGAAGAATAAGACGAAGAAGGAGGAGTAGATGAAGTGTCTCCCATCACATAGTATCATTTAATGTATTTATTTATGTCTCAAATTAGGGAGATTTTTGTTAGATGAGAAAGACTCATTTAAATGGGGTTGGCACAAACTCCATATTGAAAGCTGAAGCTTCTTATGATCAAACAAGGTAAGGAGAATTAGAAGTGTTACCACCGTAAAATTGTTGCAATTAGGGAGGGACTCTTCAAGAGAGGAATTCAAGCTATTATTTCACTCATTTGATGGATATTCTTAATGGGAACTATATATATTTTCTTGAAAAAAATTTATTATAATCAATTTACTCCTCTTCTAATAATTTTTATGTTAAGAGGAAAACATGACCGCCAATAGGTTGAAATTTTTTGAGAGTTTAAATAGGATGATGATGATGATGATGATATTTTACTATCGATTTTTTTACCTCCGATTATTATAAAGACAACGTTTCGATTTGAAATATATATATATCTCATTTTTTTCTAGAAAAAAAACTTAAACTCTTAGTTTAAAAGCTTACGACGTAAGGCTTTGAATCATGTTAAGTATATTTGATACATCATCATCAAACTAATATTTTTTCAGATTACGATCCCTCTTAATAGGCTCGGGCCGGGCCGATACGGCTTTCTTCGTAAGCCAAAGAGATCATTTGGGCCGAGCTTGGGTTGGATCTATAAGAATGCTATGAAGATGGAAAGTTCAACTTGCTTGCTACTCCGAAAAGAATGCTTAGCCTTATCCATTAATTACAGCTCCTCCTGAACTGAACTGTTGTGTGTAATAGCTACCTGCAGATCAAGAAGAGAGGGAACTCAGCACATTGTTCTTGTTTTTGGTGCACTGTGTAAAGGAAGGTCCTCCTGATCGATTCTTGCACTAACTTTTTTGGATGAACACACACCATGACAAGTCACTCGAATTGTTTGTAGAGGTTGTTTGTGTCCAAGGATTTGACTTGTGTGATGTGATGTGATGGATGGAGGAATCCCTCCTGTATTAGTCTGGGAAAAGAGAAGGAAAGCATGAGAAGGAAGCAACTCCCTCACACTCCCTACTCACCTTTTGCTTGGTGGTAGCAAGTGATGATTTCCAAGCTAAAAATCCTGCAAACTCCTTTTGCCACTTGTAGTTGTACAAGCCAACACATGGACATGGAGGTGTGTTAGGCAGATCCATCTGCAAATCCAACTCTCAACATGTTCTTGGAATCTCTTCCTGTGGCTTCAAGAAGCCCTTTTTCCTCCCCCCCATCAACCTCATCATCTTTATGGCCATACCGAGCTTTACTTTGGTGACAGCTCCTCATCGTGCCTCTGGGAAGAAGAGTAAGAAGAAGAAGAGGCGTCTCGGACTCGAAGCTGCATACATCATCACCAACGTGACACCACGACCGGTGACAGTGACGACGACGATGGCTTGTCATTTGTTTAAGAAGGCTAATGAAGCTTTGTCATCCAACAATCTCAGTGCATCAAACAACACCTCTTTTTTGTTGTTTCTGCATGCGTTCTTCCACCCACCGAGCAAGCTTTGCATTGGACTAACACCTCCTCTTCTTCCACTACCAGAAGCCAAGAGAAGATCGAAGATCGATCAAAGAGATCCATGGAAGTGGTGGAATGGTGGGTGTGGAACAACAGGACTTCATTATTGGGGGTAGGCAAGTGAGCTTATCCTCAGTGAGCCAATCCTATCGGACCAAACACACAGCACATCAACATAAAAGTGTTGTTTGGTAGTGGGAATGTGTGGGCACAACAATGTCATTCTCGTGATGCAATTTATGTCACAGAACGATCAACGAAGAAAAGCAAAAACATGTATCTGTACAGTGAGAGAAAGCTGAATCGAATTGATAGTGCATCATAAAGGTCTATGCAGAGTGCAATGGTACTAAAGGACAAGGCAAGTCGCTGTATCGATGCATTTGGTGTAGATGGAGTGAGGAGGGCCTTCTCTTTCCTTGGCCAATAGAATAATACCTGAGATGACCAGTTGATTGAAGCTTTTGCTCATTCATTTAGAGCAGTCAAAGCTGTTCTGTTGAGCATCTTCATAAATTCCAAGCACTGTATACAGCAGCAGAAGCAATTCATTCGAGTTTACAAGTCTCAACCCACAATTAGGATCAGTGCAGAGAGCAAATTGTTTTGATCCGATCATAAACCCCCAACACCAAAAGGTTCAACATCTACAGTGGTTGTAGAGAGAGAGAGAGAGAGAGAGATTAAAGAACCTTGCAGGACTTGGAAATTGCAGCCTATTAGGGGGATGAGAATAAAGTAAGTGATCAAGTATTTATCAGCATAAAGTTGGAGTGTGTTTCCCCACATTCTTCTCAAAAAGAAAAAGGAATTGCATCACAAAGTATACCAAAGTTTTGCTTTACTGGAAATCGATATATTGGCTGAGACAAAAAAGAAGAAGAAGGCTACTTGATTTCAATCTGTTTGCATAAAGGATTTGGTCTTTTAGGCCTAATTCTACCATATGGTGCTTGAGCCTATTCAACACAGACAGAAGAGAGTGCAGAGATGGGGTAGCAGATGTCAACTCCTGGTCTACTCCGTACTCAAAAAATTCCATGACAGATTGGTGGAAGACCCAATCATCGTTCCTGCTGCTGCTGCTGCTGCTGCTGCATCTTTGCTGAAGAAATAATGCATCAACTTTCTTCCCACCCTTTTCAGCATCCTTTCATGTGTCCTTTGAACACATAGTTGATGAAGCATCAATAAGCAGGTTTGATCCAAGTTTGATGAAGCATCCTCACCATTTCAAGACCTGAGTGCAGCCGAAGAACAAGCATGTTTGAGCCAGGAATTAGTTCCAAGTTATGTCAACTGGTGCAAGAATTCCTACATGCAACTGTTTCAAATGTTCATGGATTGCAGAAATGTATCAGTTTACTTGAAATCTGATCGATATAAGCTCGTTCGGAGGTCAGATTTGTTAGAGTTTAATTTGAAACTCATTCAGATCACTTTTTCTGCTCATCAGCCTGTCAAAACAGCAAGTTAATTAGCACAGCAAAAGATAACTTTTTGGTATGAAAACAGGTGATGACAAGTATTAGTTATTAATAGAAAAGCCAATGAGCCAATGATATCTGTAGCTGTTTACCTGAGACTGGAATTCTGATGGCAAGATGGAAACAAGCACAGCTTATATCATTCACCTTCAGAATGCTAATGATGGATGTTGAGCTACTGCCCTGGACATCCTTGTAGGTTCCATCTGGTCTTTCAAGAACAAGAGAAGAGGATAGTGAGGTGTGTCAGTGCCTTTGGGAAGACAGGAAATGGAGTCAAAAAGAGTCTTCAAGATGCTGGTGTCCAAGAACAAGACAAAACCTCCTCCCTACTGTTTCCTGTGTTGGGATGAACACTCTGGTTTACTAACATTCCTGTCATCCAGACAAACAAAGATTCAGCCGAAAAGAACATCCTGTACACATATCTTTGTAAGGCATATTTGGATCAATCTTATGGTTATAACATCAGAGTGAGCAAGCAGCCTGATACTGAATCCAAACAGGAAAGAAAGAAGGCTAAGAACTACTAAATGCTGGTGAAGTAGATTTGTTTATTGGAAAAGGTTGTGATGGAAAACTGCAAGTGCAACATTTGTACATCACATTTCAAGAATGGAAGCAAAATGACATTAGCTTTTTGCTGTGAGTGGTAAATCATAGCAAAGCCAAGAACAATGCTGCTACTTTTCTTTCTGAAAACTACTGTCTTTTGCTGGAGATGATTAGGAAGGCAATTAGAAGAAATCTGCATAGTACTCGAGTGTCAGAAGACCTTTCCAGCTGAGAATAGGTCTCTTGACATTTGCATCAAAGTGATCAACCAAAAAGACAAGTAATTAGTTACCTGAAAACTTCGGTTCATCGATCGTCGACTTTACACAGCATTAACCAGCCTCGAAAGCTCATAACTCAGATATAATTTGCCATGTCTTAAAACATGTAGGGTCTCAAATAAAAATCTCCACCAGGTATTATGAACTGGTAATCTCATGTAGAATTGGAAAACCAGCAAAGTGGAAATCAAACAAATATATTATCACACTACTCAAACCACACATCATTTTCATGCTAGCAATAATCTACTTATTCAGAAAATAAAGTGCTAGATGCCAAAAGAGGTCTGCCATTGTCAACTGAGATCCATTACACTCGATAACAATAAAGTGAACAGGGATACAATTTAAAGCTCCTTTTTCTTGTTCTTTCCTAATTGGAAAATTATCTTTTTGGCAAATTCATAAGGTAATTAAATACCATTTTTTTTGTAGCAATTATTAAGCCCACTGGAGTGACCTCTTAATGTATCATTGAGCCAAAGGAAAAGAACACACAAAGCACCCCTTTTTTTTTTTGGCACCAGTAGGAGCAACTACATCAAACATCAAGATATGACAAGAGAGAAAACATAAGATGTATGCAACAGGGTCAAATATTATAATCCAAAAGGATTCACTCTTATCCATCACCATAAATATCAAGAACAACCACCAAAGCATAAAGATTGTGCATCAGATTCAGAGTGGCTACAATGACTTGTGAGCAAACCTAAGTCAACAAACTAAATTTAATAAGAATGCACTAGATATGAATGTTGATATCAATGTGGTGAAGTGGAGTCTACATTTTATAAAACTAATAAACATGTACCAAATCTAGAAGGAAAAGATAAAAGCATTTCAGATGATGTCAGCAGTGTGCAGGTCCAAACCATCTAGAATGTCATGGTTGAGACTTGAGAGATTAAAAATGATCCTGGAATGAAGAATAAACTGAATAGATATATAATATGATCAAATACTTTTTCTTTTTAGCTGGGACTGGAATGAGCTCTAATCAATTTGATTCCACAGCTCCTCAATTATCCATCCAATCGCCATCCAAAGTGGTCCATTTCAGTGGATCCCATGGCAATTGATATGCTATATCTTCACTTTACAGAAAGTGACTTCAATTGCGTGACACAAGCTGAATCAAGCCATGCTAAACAATAATCTAATCTAACATACCTCTCACCAATTACATCCTCTTCCTTCTCTCGCTCCAAAACATTCCCCTTGATCAACAGTGACACTGCATGAAAGCCAAGTTTGTCTTTATGTTTTAGCCCATGATTCTGTCATCCATCATCCACAGTCGTGGCCTTTCTCTTCTCCTTTTCTTGAAGATGCATCCAAAGCTATGCCCGCATTATAGTGGCACCAACATCCTGGCCCTCTTTCATTTCAAAGCAAATGCTTGTCACTGCTAATGAACCAGCTTCTACTTTAATGGGGGCAACAAGGTTTTTGGTGTCGAGGGTTCCGTCATCTGCACGCCATCGTCTGATAGCGATGGAGGAATTGTAATGGATGGATGGATGCATGCATGCATTGCTCGGCATCCATCAAGCAGGATGAGATGCTGCTTGAACCGGACAAAGTGGTACTGCCGAGTCTTGGCACTCTATAAATTCACATCAATACCTTCCATGCTTCCTTCCCCTTCAGTAGAACATCCCACTGTGACCGAGATCTTTCTTGGATCTTCCATTCTCCGGAAAATTTGTGACCATGTATCCAGGTGAGATTGCCAGCATTAGATACCTTTCACCATCGTGTATGCCTTCTTGCCAGTCTCAGTACCACATGGCTGAGAACAGCATCCCCTCCTCCTTCCACCTGAGCGATGTCTTTGGATGTTGCTCCCCGAACCAAGCTCAGAGCTCGCCTTTGATGCATGAAGTCGGCCTTCCAAACAACGGCATCCCCTCCTTCCACCTGAGCGATCTCTTTGGATGTTGCTCCCCGAACCAAGCTCAGTGCTCGCCGTTGATGCATGAAGTCGGCCTTCCAAACAACAGCGTGGTCGAGGCGGAAGAGCAGCGACTGTGCTGGGCCGAGGAGCGGAGGAAGAGGAGGATGATATCCAACAGAGAGTCCGCGCGGCGATCGCGCATGCGCAAGCTGAAGCAACTCAGCGAGCTGCGGTCGCAGGTTGCCCATCTCCGGTCTGCAAACGGCCGGCTCCTCGATGATCTCAACCGTGCCATGAGAGAGCGCGATCAGGTCCTCCGTGAGAATGCCCAGCTCAGAGACAAAGAAACAGAGCTCCAGAAGAAGCTGGAGAAGCTGCCACCTGAACATAGTTGTGTTCCACAAAATCCAGAAGAACTCGGCTCGGATTACAGTTGAATCCTCCTTTTTGTGTTCTTCCCTTCTGAACTCTCTCATCTCTCTCAGCGTGATTAAGCGGGTAGGCTGCATGCACAAGTTTACCATGCAAATAATTAATGCTCTTGCATGACGAATTTTAGTGATATGGATGGAGGAGTTGTCCTGTTATGATATCGGTAATCATTTCAAGAACATTAACCATGGCTACTAAGAAGAAGACCGCCGAGTCGAAGAGGCAAAACAGCAACACCCAACAGCTTCTTGGATAGCAGTCGATGTTACTGCTTGAAACATTCGATTCGGTGGAAGAGAACAGAAAAAGGGTTGTAGGCCACAGTGGCTGCACATATCATATTTGCCATGCAACAGGAATCTCTTGCAGGTGGTGGCAATTATTGGTGGTGAGCTTTCAAGAAAACCCTAATGTTTTAGATGTCTTTGCGCTAGAAGATTGAAAGACTTGTCTCTAGCAATCCGGACAAGGTTTTACTTTCATGGCTGACATGCCTTGAATTGTATACGGCTCTCCCATTCCATGTCCATGAAATCCTGTTTTCATGTGCCTGTTTAAAGACATTATAGGGATAAGAAATTAGTTCAGTTCAAGGCAAACTATGCATCAGAAGCACCAAAATCCACAGCAAGATTCACTTGAATTCAAATGTTGTCATAGTCAATGTTTGACATTTCAGGACTTGGCTCTCTCAGAACTTGAGACATCTGGTAAATTCTACCTGGAGCTGCTGATCTTCCAAAAAGCAAATAGCCCTCTCCTCACAGAACTTGTGGATTTCAAACTTTCTTTACACTGTTTGGAGAACCTTCAACTGAAGTTAGATACTGAATTATTTCTAGTGCACTGAATGTTCAGAGAGAGTGACCTGCACAAATCCACCACAGAAAATGACTGACTGCTCTCTTTACACTGCCACCACCATCATTTCCAAGACTGTTGCTACTCAAGTTTTAGTGGCCTCTTGTGTGTTTCCATCAATGTCTTAGTCTTGGCTCATTCAAAGTATTTTGGGGTACAAACATTCCTCATGATTTTGCATAATACTAAGCACATGAGGTTCCTATCTTCTCCAGAAAATGTTACATTATAGCTGCTTTCATGGTTCCAAACTTTCTGATATTTCAGGCTTAAGATAGAGTTCACTTCTGGTGAAGCATCTGTCTTTTCAGAAAACTAACACATCAAATTGTTCTTTATGTCTGTTCCTGGATGAGGCTTAGAAACAGAGAATTCAGGTTTAACAGTACATGGAACACAAGCAAGCCTTTCAGGTTTGGTCCTTGGAACACAAGCAAGCTGGTTAAGTCCATTGGCAACCTTTTCTAAGCTAGCCTTCAAATAACTTTAGCATGCATGTATGCCTCTAAAAAGAGGGTATCTTGAGGTCCCAAATAAGGTGGGTCATCAAAGCATCAGTCAGTTCATGCTATCTAGCTAAGACTGATGTGTCTCATCATGCATCATTTTGTTACATGCAATTTGACAGAATAGGTAAAGCTTACAATACTTCAGACATGCATGTATAAGTAGTGCACAACCAAATAGCTTTAGGCTGACCAAAGAAAGGAAGCAGCTTGGCAGAAGGATAAATGAACAAATGGATGCCACTAAAGCCTTATTTTATTGTAAATGCTTATATGCATGCGTACAAGATTTCTTGAGACCGAAGTGCACCATCCTCTCTTGATATGTAATCCATCCAGTTAACATAGAGCCAATCAACTGTTGTCATACTTTTCCTTCATCACGACTGATGCAATCTATTTTGTACAAAACTCGCATCCTTTGTAATCCATCAAATCAACATAGAGCCAATGAACTGCAGTACTTCGAACTCACACACACTTGAGTGTGTAATAAATGAGTGTCTGGTTGAAACAGTTGTGTAATAATCTACTCCTAATATCAAATATCATGTCAAAAAAATAAAGAAAGAATGCATATATCAAATACCAGTTTGCTTCGGTCTTGAGTAATTTCCAACACCAATCCTTTAAAACAAATCATGCATGTCAAAAGAATAACAAGCTACTCATATACAATGATCCCATCCCACCCAAATGGTATGGATTCTCTGGTGAACATGAAAACTTAATAGCAAGCTTGGCGCAAGATTCTTGCAGCCAATAACAATACATGATTCCAAAACAAACAGACGATACACACCAAGTACCAACCACAATATAACTTCTTTATTTCGATAAGAACCAAGTCAAACACAATAGTACTGGTACATGACCAAGTTTAAAACTCGCAAAGGGATGAAATAGGCATCACACAGATCGATACTAGTTCTGGCAGGAAATGAGATGATTATAGCACTAATATACGTGATAGAAACTATTATTACTCCTCTTCTACCTCTGACTCAGCATTCGACCATCTTTGTACCACTGCACTATGTAATCTTCTTCCAAACCATCTTCATCATAAAGAGATTTAGCTACCAAAGCAACTTCCTCAGTGCATCCCTCCTAAATTCCCACAGAATGTTCCAATAGCACACAGAAGACGCATCTGTGATTCCTTATCATGCACTATAGCCAGAAGGTAGTTCTTTCTTCTTCTTGACAACCCATTTTGCAACCTATTTTACCCACACCCCAAAACAGGGCCAGAAAAAATGCATTCGTTTTCTCCTGATAAGACTCAGTCAGAGAGCCCAGAAAGGAGCCAAGCTCACTAGGTTTGGATCCCTTCTTCAGTGTACCTTTGATCTCTACAATCATCTGCTCAATAGTGCTACTCCTTTGCTTCAGTTCCTGCTTTTGCAGCTCCCACTTTCCACTCTTGATTTTGCTTTCTTCTCTTCCTTCTCAGGCACATTACCAGCGGAATGTGCACATTATCAAAAAGCATGTGCAGTCACAGGATTACCAGATCCATAACACGGTACATACTCTTTGATAAAGTTCTCTAGTAGTCCAGCTAATTTGGCAGTGTCATGAGCTCCGTTAACAAGCTAAGTACCAGTCTTTTCATCGAACTTGGATTGAGCACCAAGCTCACAGCCAACATACTTGGTAGTGTAAGAAGCTAGTCGGTACAAGGCATTTGCAATGCCCACCATGTTCAAAATGTTTGTCTTGATGCCATTCCCACAACCTTCTATTTTAGTTATCATCTTGGGCACATTATACAGATAGAAGGCATCATCGATGTTTGAAGCGCCAATGTTCTGCAATGCCATCTTTGCACGAGGAAACACAAGTAGATAGACACTAACAATAATGTCAGACAATGGAACTGGACACAAAATATTTTTCCCTCAATGCAGGACTGGTCAGCCACTAGTATTAGTTGTGGAACTCTGTTCTATTGGCTTCTTGTAAAGCACATATATTAACGAGCATGGTATATATAACAAGCCAATAGAAGAGAGTTCCACAATTAATACTGATTAAATGAATGGTGTTTATGGTCCTTGTTTCCCAATCCATTAAAGAGGCAAAGATCAAAATCATAACACTTAATTTTCACATGCAAAACATTGCATACTATGCAGATAATTAAGGTAAGATACTACATAGATAATCAGAAAGAAGGAAGCAAGGAAATTGATACAATCATAAAAAGAAGAAGTTGTGAACAATTTACAGAGACATTCAACGATAGATATTGATAGCATGCATCAACAAATTATCCAGTCGAGTTCCAAAAAATTTTGACTTAAACCAGCTTTACATGGCCTACTAATAATTGATACTTGTATCCTAACACTACTATCAAGAATTTTCTAGATTTTGGTCTCCATGCATTAGGTACTGTTGCTGCTTTTCCAATTTCCTGGTTACCATATCTGCCAAACAATAGTTTATATGTATTATAATGCATCATCCAGGTACCTTTAACATTCTTTTTATAAATAAAAGACCATGTGGAACTCAATCTTGGCAAGATAATTGTCTATACCACTATTGCCCTAGGTATAAGGCTTCATGTGCTTGTTACTGCATGGTATTTAATCACATTTCTAGGTGTATAATACCAAAGTAGGTTCAACCTGAGGCACAACATCAATATCTTGAGACATGTTATTCCACACAAAGAGGTCCATAGAGGTAGCTACCATACCATTCATCATTATCCGAGAAACATAAAGCCTAAAACTCACTTGTAAAGAGCTTAACCACATAGTCCAAAAGCAATAAAGTTGAAGGCCGAATAAAAATTCTGCAATTTGTAGAGTTGTAAAATGAACTAACCTCCTAGGCCTAGATTCAACAACTTCACCTGATTGTATGAGAACTGCAAGTTCTTCAAGGATCTAAGAATTCCACTTTTACATAAATCTACAGTTTCACCTGATTGTACGTACATGACTCTCATCTACATGACACATACTTATAAAAACTCAGCTACACGATTCTTGATGATGCAAGCAATAGCTCTTGATGATGTATCACCACAAATCTCACCAGATGACCAGCAATCCCAACTTTTATCCTACAGACTGTGACATATAAATAGCTTAATATTTAATTACGCATAGTTGAAGTGCATGCAATATAATTAAGTCATATTCATATCTTAAACAGTTCTTAAAGTTAAGAACCATGCCCTAGAATTAATCTACCTCAAACCTTAAGTTCAATCATACCTTAAACATGTCCAGAACTTATAACTAAACAAGAAAAACAAGAATTTCTCAACAATCAGATAACAGAGGTGGCCTACTTTGGCCATACATCATCCACTGACACATAGAAAAAAATGCTCTAAGCGTCAATCGACGATAATTAGATGTAAAATATCCCAAATCTATCGTCTAAAAAAGTCCATTCAGCTGGAACCACAAGAATCAGATCAAGAATTCATCGAAGGCAACGAACGTCCCAAAGAACACTACTAACTCATTAATGGAAGGTGATCAAACAACAGCAAGAAAGATGACTGGATCAAGATCTTTCAAGGAAACGGCAAGAACAAACACCATCATGAACAAGGATAAAATCCGGCAAGCAAAAAGAACAATCAATTGAAAACGGGTCTGATCAATGGCAAAGAAGAAAGAAAGGGCGTCGATCGCCTGACCTAATTCGCCACCGTAGCTAAACCGAGGACAAGAGGGCAGAGAAGGAGGTTGACATAGACAGAGGCCAGCTTACGTTTCCGGTACCGCATTTTGGCTGTGTGTATTCACGCCACCTTCTAGAGGAATAAATTCTTTTATCATCATTAAAATTGATTTATTATTATTATTATTATTATTATTATTATATATATATATATATATATATATATATATATATATTTGTTAGAATAATGAGAAATTATCTAATTTTTTTAAAGGGATTAGGATATCAGATAAAATGATCTTTTATCTTCTTATTTTTATATTATCGTGATCTAATTATTAACTTTCTTATTATTAAAACTATTTGACGAGTGAAAATTTACGTCTTAAATGGATATACGTTTATTCAAATTATGTATGTGGATGATATTTTTATTTTAAAATTAATAAAAAATAATGTTACGTTATCATATTTTTCTCTATCATATTACTAAAAAAAAAGTCAATAGGTTTCTTCTACTATTAATGCTAGTTGGTCTTGAAGCTTTTTTTTTTTTTTGTGAAGGTTAGGTTATTAGATTTTTGATATGTCTTTAGTGTTAAAATAGATCATTTTAATATGGATTTTGTGAATGAATCTTCTTGGGTTTGAAGTTTGATTGTTGATCATAAGTGAGACTTTTGTAAATTGAATGAGTTGTATGGACATTTGCTTATTGATTTTATTTCTAAAATTAATTATCAGATTTTTTTATAATAATAATAATAATGAATGGAACCATCAACTATAGTTGCCTATGCCTTACTTGTCTCCCAATATGCATTTGACCAATCACCATATCTGTTGATTGGTCTCATTTATGAAAGGAATAACATGTGTGATTTATTTTTGTTATAAATTGCTTCATTCTAGAATGTCTATTTCTCACTATATTGCTACATTTGGTCTTGTAGAGGCTAAGCTTTTACATGTTGTGTGGTGCTCAAATGGATGAATTGTCTCATATTTTCTTTGATTGTTCATTTAGTCTATCAATTTTTGAGATTTTTCAACATAAATGAGAAATAACCTTTAGATTTCTTGGTCAGGAATAAATTATCTTGGGTAAATAAACTATTTTTTCTTATATACTATTATAGCATATGATTTATGGCTAATTCGGAAGACCCATCATAATGATACTTTATTTAGTTATAAAAATTAATTAGAGGAGTGTCTACACGATATATCTAAGAATTTCAGACTATAATTGATGTACTAAAGTAATGTCATATCTCACAAATATTTTTATCAATATTCTCATTCTAATAAATGATCATTTTTTTTAAGTACCATACATTATCATCGTATTAATATTTTATGTGTAAAATTTATTAGATGATGTTTTTGAAACCTCATTAGGAGAGTTGATGGAACCTTTTTTGGGTTCTCAAGCAATAAGATAATAAGTAGATTTCATATACAATGAATTAAAATATTTTTCTTTATACCATGTTCATATAACTCTCTCTCTCTCTCTCTCTCTCTCTCTCTCTCTCTCTCTCTCTCTCTCTATATATATATATATATATATATATATATATAGATATATATAGCCCTCTTGGAAGTATTTTGATGCTATAAAATTACTCACAAAGAAGAGAAAATAGTTAAATAGTTATGCTCATCAAATGAAAGAAACCATTAAAACAATGTTATAATTAAGAGGTGTTAAAAGTTTGAATTCCAAATTAATGATATGACATTTAAAATGAAAAGAGAAATCTCATGGATAATAAGAAAAAAATAAGCCAAAAAGTTGACAGAAAATTAACCTCAAAATGATGGCTCTTTTTCTACAAGCGCAAATCATCTGTGTTTGCAAAGGAGTATCTTCTTCACATTACCATATGACACACCACAAATAAGCAAAGAACATTTTGATCTCAGCTTGTTCTTGGCATGGACTGCAGATAGCATAGAAAATAGCAATCAGCATAAATACTTGCAGGAGTCTGACAACCCTCTACCATAAAATAAACAAATCAGAGTCATTAGAAGATGTGAGCTTTACAGCTAAACAAGGAGGAAAGAAAATGGTTAATTGAATATAAATGTGGTGTTGGCTTACTATTGTCCAAATTAAGTATTATTTTGGATAATATTCTTTAGCATCCACGCAACGTTGCATCTCTACTCGTTTCATAAAATGAATGCTGCATGTTAGGTATTGTTTATGCCTCAGTGTATCCATTACAGCTCAAGATGTTGATATGTGTGGCTTTGTTTACTGTCTCTCTCTCTGTGTCTGTCTCTCCATTTAAGAATCACGTCAATGTTCTGTGCTCAACAGAGCTGAAGGAAAGAGCATGTGAAGGGTGTCATGAGGCAAAAGACAACCCATCCATCACATGAACAAGGCTGTGCAGCTATCAGATCAGACTAAATCTGGCCAACCACGACAGGGATTTTGCTCGACATGATCGGATCTACGAGTGGATTACACGTTTATGGGGGAGGGATGATCGAATTCTTAATCTCCATCGTCTGGAGTGTAATTTACGGCAGCAATGGATGGGAGAGAGCCATCTTTGTTGTGGAGGTGCTGAGCACATCATTCGCTGCATGGCCCGCATGGAACAAAAAGAAAGAGAAGACGCTCTCGCTCACGTCCAACCACTCGATATTATCAAGCGCTGCTTCAACCACCACTACTTACTTCCTCTTTGTAGAGCGAGGAGAAGGTCGGCAAGCAGTCACCATCCCGTCACAGATCCTTCTCCCTCCGCCGTCGGAGAACCATGAAGCCTTCTTACGCCGTTAAGCCGCCGCTTCGGAGGCAGCAGAATGGCCACGGCGTCGGCAAGGTGGTGCTGCTGTCCGCGGTTGTCCTCGTGCTGCTGGTCAAGATCTTTCTTCTCCCCTACACGCGGCGGTACCCTCCCCTCGGCTTGCCGGAGAACTGCGATCTGTCCAAGGGCGAATGGGTTCGGGACCCCGACGCCCCCTACTACACCAACAAGACCTGCTTCACCATCCAGGAGCACCAGAACTGCATGAAGTACGGCCGGCCGGATCTGGACTTCCTCAAGTGGCGGTGGCAACCGGAGGGCTGCGACCTCCCTCGCTTCGACGCCGCCTGGTTCCTCCACCTCGTCACGGGCAAGTCCATGGCCTTCGTCGGCGACTCCTTGGCCAGGAACCAGATGCAGTCACTGATGTGCCTCTTGTCCGGCGTAAGCCCCTCTCTCTCTCTCTCTCTCTCTCTCCATGACTCGATCTCCAATTCTTTTCCTGCTCTCTGGAGGCAGAAGCCACCGGAATTCAGCTCACGAGATGCCATCTGCCGTTGGCGTTGAAATCTAATCTCGATAGAAATTCCAAATCAAGAATTTGATCTGCTCTTGGAAATCAAATTGCGAATCGGATTCCGCTCCTGGATCAACACACCAGATCTAGATGCTCCTAAATATTTAATGAACAGTGAGTAGGCAACAAAGCTAATCCAGTCTTTTGTTTGCTTCTTTCCTAGTGATTTCCTTTCGTCGCAATGAGTGAGGAGGTGGGAAAGGTAGGTTAAAAGGAAGGGGGAAAAGAGGGGAGGAGCAAAACACACACCACATCAATTAATGGAAGCGAGAGAGGACAAACAAGATAGCATTTGGTTGGCCCAGGCGATGCCCCTAACAAGAGCCAGCCAACCGGCAGGATCTAATGGTAAGATCTCGTGGCCCGAGACGAACCAGAGAGAACAGTCTAAGTCAAGTCTGTAGATTTCACCTCGAAAGGGCAATGGGAATCGCGTCTGTAACCTTTAGGACTCATCGTGTTTCGATCTTTACATTGCTGTCGCTCTCTCATCGCCGACTCGCCCACGTGGTTGTCATCACTCCAAAAGCTGGCAGGTCTCAGAGTTCTCATCTACTCTTTGCTAGCCTCCGTTTTTGACATTGTCAGATGCTACATCCAACCTGTAACTCGGCACCTTTGACGTAAGATTCATGTCCACGACAGTGTTCTCCCGAGTCGATTGCAGGAGATCATCGATATCTGGCTTGATGTTTCTCGATTTGATCTCCGGTTGAGAAGATTAGTAACGCTGGAATCGATCGTGTGCAGGTGGAGCGACCACAGGACATGTCGGACAGTAAAGATGACAACTTCAAGCGCATGTTCTATCCCACCTACCGCTTCACCATCTCCATCTTCTGGTCCCCGTTCCTGGTGAAGGCGCAGCTGGCGGACACAGACGGGCCGAACCACACTGGCCTCTGGAACCTCTACCTGGACGAGGTGGACGAGAAATGGGCGTCGCAGCTCCACAAGTTCGACTACGTGATCATCTCCGACGGCAACTGGTTCACCCGGCCCTCCCTCTTCTACGAGCAGAAGAAGCTGGTCGGCTGCCACTACTGCCTGATCGAGAACGTCACCGACCTGACGCTGCACTACTCGCACCGGATGGCCTTCCGGACGGCCCTCCGCGCCATCAACGGCCTCGCCAGCTTCAAGGGGAAGGTGTTGGTGCGGTCCATATCGCCGTCGCACTTCGAGAACGGGGAGTGGAACAAGGGCGGCAACTGCAAGCGGAAGCGGCCGTACCGGAGCAACGAGACGACGCTGGAGTCGCTGGACCGGGAGTTCTACGAGCAGCAGCTGGAGGAGTTCAGGCAGGCGGAGCGGGAGCCGGGGGTGAGGATGCGGCTGCTGGACACGACGCAGGCCATGCTGCTGAGGCCGGACGGCCACCCGAGCAGGTACGGCCACTCCATCCATGAGAGCGTCGCCATGTACAACGACTGCGTGCACTGGTGCTTGCCCGGGCCCATCGACATGTGGAACCAGCTCTTGTTTCTGATGCTGGGGGAGTGAAGCATCAGGAAGACCAGTGTTTGTGTGGGCTTGGGGCTGAGAAGAAATTTTTCCCCCGAGATCCACGTTACAGGATCATCAAATCAATCTAATAGAGTGGATTATATCATTCATGGAGGGGATGAATAATTGTATGTGTATGGATTCTGTTGAACGATCTGATGAGTTCTTGAAGCTTTTCTTCCATCCCTATCATTTCTGCAGCTTCGGACATGTTCTTATACCATCCTCCGACGGACGCATCTGAATAGAAGGAATGCAGCGGAGACAGACTTAAGTGGATCTAATGGGTTCAATTTACATTGGAAATAATTGGTGGGATGCCATTGTTTGACTAAAACATGAACATGCGATGAAAGAAATCGTATTTGATGCAGAGGACTGAGTGTGCGTTTGGTGTTTGCGTTAATGCCGCCGAGCTTCCTCACGTCGTGTGCACGCCCATGCGCAATGGTCCCTCCTTCGTTGGTAGAGCCAAGAGCTTGCCTCTATTGCCTCTTCCATCACTTCTCCGCCATGGATTCGTGGTGGAGTTCATGATGTATTGGTGGGATGCCACCATTGTTGCAGCTGTTCTGGCTCATTGACCAGCATCATAAACCATACTCGGTCGCCAAGGTCATGATCACAAGCCAACTCAGTACATAGATTAACTGTTAGTGACATGTCTTATTCTGGTTGCTTAGTGCTCTCTTAATTATTTATTATATTTTATATATAAACAACACTTTTTAATTTATATATAATAATAATCCTGAAAATAGAAAAAGAAAGTTTAGCTTCTTTTTTTTTTTCTTTGTGGATTCACAATATGTTGATTATCATTTTCAAAAATATAAAACTTTTATTTTTAATTTATGATACTTAATTTCAATAAAAATATTAATTTGTATTTCTGAAGCCCAACATGCGGGACGTGGGCAGCAAAAGACATGCCAACCACCCAATATTTATCGAACAGAGATGAAGTCACGCCACCATTGCTTTTTATAGAGTCATGGCTTCTTCTTCCTTCACCATCGTCTGACCTCTTCCAATGAAGCCTCATGCCTACAGGCTTCGGATTTGGGGCTACCATCATGCACACGGCAATCCCAGGACACTTCTCTTCTCCATCCTCCTCATCTTGTTGGTGCTTGCCATCATCTCCTGTTGCAACCAGCCTCCCCTACCCTCGTACAACGATGAACGTTCTTCTTCTTCTTCTTCCGCCTCCTCTTTGTCTTCCTCGTCGCCTTCTCCTCCTCCGCCGCCGCCGCCGCCTCGATATCCTTCCATCAGATTGCCCCGGGACTGCGACATCTCCCAGGGCGAGTGGGTTCGGGATCCAGACGCGCCGTACTACACGAACCTGACGTGCTTCACGATCCAGGAGCACCAGAATTGCATGAAGTACGGGAGGCCAGACATGGACTTCCTGAGATGGAGGTGGAGGCCGGCGGCCTGCGAGCTGCCGCGCTTCGACGCCTCTTGGTTCCTCGAGCTTGTGAGAGGGAAGTCCCTGGCGTTCGTGGGCGACTCCTTGGCCAGAAACCACATGCAGTCCTTGATGTGCCTCTTGTCGAAGGTAAAGGCGCCATCAAACCAAAGCATTACCCGTTCATACCTCCTCCAAAGCCAGATCTTAACCTTATCAACCATCTTAAACGTTCAATGAAATGAATGTACATGACAGAACACAACACATCCGGCCTTCACGTTGGAGCGCGAGCTGTGAATATAAATTGACGTGCCCACATGGATCCATTTCTGTACTCGTAGAATCTTATAATCTTGTCATTCATTATGGATCTTCTAAGTTTGACCGCTCTCTCTCTCTCTCTCTCTCTCTGTTGTGCCGATCAGGTGGAGTATCCGAAGGACATCTCCAACACCACGGATGAGAACTTCAAGCGCATGTTCTACACCGCCTACAACTTCACCATCTCAACCTTCTGGTCGCCGTTCCTGGTGAAAGCTCAGGAAGCAGACACAGACGGCCCCAACCATACTGGCCTGTGGAACCTCTACCTCGACGAGGTCGACGACACCTGGGCGTCCCGAATCCGCGAGTTCGACTACGTGATCATATCCGATGGCAACTGGTTCACTCGGCCAGCCATGTTCTACGAGAAGGGAGTGATCGTCGGCTGCCACTTCTGCCTGGTTGACAACGTCACCGACCTGACGCTGCGGTACTCCCACAGGATGGCCTTCCGGACCGCTCTCCGCGCCATCACCGAGCTCGATGGCTTCGGGGGGAAGGTCTTCCTGAGAACGGTCTCGCCGTCGCACTTCGAGAACGGGGAGTGGAACAAGGGAGGGAATTGCGTGAGGACGAGGCCGTTCCGGGGCAACGAGACGAGGCTGGAGGGATTGGATCTCGAGTTCTACGAGGCACAAGTGGAGGAGTTCAGGGAAGCCGAGAGTGTGGGGAGGGCAAAGGGAGTGGAGTTGAAGATGTTGGACACCACGCGAGCGATGCTGCTGAGGCCCGATGGGCATCCGAGTAGATATGGCCATTGGGCGCATGAGAACGTCACCCTGTACAACGACTGCGTGCACTGGTGCTTGCCTGGCCCCATTGATATGTGGAACACCCTTCTGTTTCTGATGTTAGGTGAGTAAAAGCTGCAGAGATCTGCTTCCTGAAACCTTCATGCAGACTCAACAAGGAGATGGAGTTTTGGCTGAGCTCCACGGAACACAACCCCAATCTCCAGCTGAAGTACCACAAGAATGGAAGAGATGAAAAGAATACAATCTGTATGTTTCTTTTAGCCAGAGTTATTCCAGTCATTTCTTCTGACCCTTTTTGCTACTTTTTGGAGGTGATCACAAGGACCTTTCTTCACTCAATTGTGAAGAGAGATATCCAATAACTGGAAACCCATGAAAAAGATCTGTGACTGGTTGTCGTCTTATTGTAATATAATATGAGTGCACAAAGTCATATGAAGAAATGATGTGATGCTTTGTTTTGAGGTGAAGACAAGAAAACCATGGCATTGTTGAGGGAAACAGCTATCCACTTGACTTTTGACACATAGATTTCAATCATTTTCAGCTTCACCACCTTCCCAATAAATGAAGCCACTTTGCATGGGTAAATTCTTGTGGTGTGACAAAGGAAAAGACACTTGGATCATCTTTCTATATGTTAGAATTTAATTTCATTACATCATAATCAAATGCTCTTGCATTGTTTGTCTTCATAAGGCATATACAACTCATCTCATAGCAGTATCAATTCATTAAAGAACATGGACATATATATAAGAGGTTCTCCTTTGGAAAGTTACTTTATAACATGAGACGTAGACATACAACTCTTCTAAGATTATTTATTGGATCCCTAAAAAAATAATAAATATAAATTAATAATATATTTAGTATTATTTATATATTTAATATATATATATATATATATATATATATATATATATATATATATAT